GTCACCCTTCTTTGGAATGGGAACAAATATAGATCTCTTCCAGTCAGTTGGCCAAGTGATTGTTCTCCAGATTTCTTGGCACAACTTGGTGAGCACATCCAGGGCAGCATCTCTTAGCTAGAGAGGGTGAAACTGGGCTGCTCGTTGGAGGCAAAGATTCTGAAGGTCTGTCTGACGTGCTTTGGACATATTGCAAGGAATGACTAGTCTTTGGATAGGGACATCATGCTTGGGAGAGTGGAGGGACAGCACAAGAGAGGAAGATCCAGGGTGAGATGGATTGACTCAGTGACTGAGGTAATAAGGATAGGGGTGTCAGAGATAATAAGATTGGCACAGGATAGAGCTGGTATCAAAGCTGTTGTACATAGGGTCACTGTGAGTTGCAAGCAACTTAATGGCAAATAACAATATACTTTTGCATTATATAAATTATTTGGTAAAGTAAAAATACTATGATGTAGTTCTAAATATATGTAAAGGAAATATTTATGACAGTTGTAATAGAGTGTAGTAGTGAGATAAACTTTCTACACATCACTAAAACTGTTAAAATAGCAATATCAGCAGGTACTTAACAACTTAGGTGTATATGTAATTCTCCAGACAGTGAGTAAATAAGCCATAAGAACCCATACATAAATAAAAATGGGATTAAAACAAAAATGTTCTCAATAATGAATTTTTGTTTTTGTTGTTAGATGCCCATTGAGTCAAATATGATGCATGGTGACCCTATGGATGGAAATAGACTTGAATCCTATTCTATCCTGTGCCATTTTCATCCTTTCTGACACATTTGAGCCAGTGCTACAATCACTGTGTCAATTTTATTGAGGGTCTGCCTCTTTTTCCCTGACCCTCCACCTATTACAAGCAGGATGTCTCCTTCCAAGGATTCTTCTCCTAGCAACCTGCCCAAAGTATGAGGTGAAGCTTTGCCATCTTTGCCTCTAAGAAGCATTCTGGCTTTACTTTTTCCAAGATGTAGCGGTTGGTTCTTTTTACAGTACATGAGATATATTTAGTACTCTTTTCCAACAGCATAGCTCAAAGTCATGAATTCCTATACCATCTTCATTCCTTATCCAGCTCACAGATGCATAGCAAGTGATTGAAAAGAGCATGGCCTGAATCAGGTGCCCTTTAGTCTTCAGACTGACACCATTGCTCGTTAGAATTTTAGAAAGATCCCTGACATCAGACTTGCCCAATGCAACACATCTCCTGATCTTCTGACTGCTAGTACCAAGGACGTTGACTTGGTAACTGCATGTTACCAAGTAACATGAAATCGTTGATAACTTCAATCCTTTCTCCATCTATCATGATGTTGCCTATTGACTCAGTGGTGAAGATTTTTGTCTTCTTGACATTGAGATATAATCCACATTAAGGACTGTAGTTCTTGATCTTCTACAAGCGTTTCAAGTCCCCTCACTTTAAGCAACCAAGGTTGTTTTCATCTGTATAACGCAGATTGTTGATGAGTCTTCCTTCTGTCCTGACACCACCTTCCTCTTCATAGAGTCCAGTATCATGAATTATTTGTCAGCATGCACATTTAGTAGGTATGGAGAAAGGATAGGCTACATCCCTGGTGCATATTGTTCCTGATTTTTAACCATGCAGTGTTCCCTTGTTCCATTCATACAACAGCATCTTGATATAGATTTAGTATGAGCACAAGGTAGTGTTCTAGGATTCCCATTCTTTTCATTGTTAGCCATAGTTTGTTATGATCCACACAGTCAAATGTCTACGGATAGTCAATGAAACACAGTTAAACATTCAGGTATTTGCTGCTTTCAGCCAGGATGCATCTTATCTAGCAGTGATATCCCTGGTGCTGCAGCCTCTTCTAAACCTCACTTGGACTTCAACAGTGCCTGTTTATGTATTACTTTATTTATTTTTGTATGATCTTCAACAATATTTTGGAGCTACCCTCCAAATTTCCCAGCACAGACTAGTGAACCTGTCTCAGGTTGGATCTGTTAGTTGAAACATGTTGGTTTATATCCCATCAATTTGTGGAGCTTTATTTTTTTGCCAGTGCATTCAGTGCAGCTTATACCTCTTCCTTTATTACCATTGGCTCTTATTCATATGCTACTTCCTGAAATTTTTCAGTGCTGACTTTTTTTTTCTCTATAGTGACTGTGTATCAGAGTTTGTTTTAAAAAATAACTTGTTTTCTAATTATTACTTAAATTTTTGAGAGCTAGTTTGTTATTATTTGCTTATTTTTCAGTATTGATCTTCAATTTAATAACTTAGTACTCTTTCTCATTGCTCTTGATAACTAATAGAATATGCAGAATTTTTTAGGTACGTGTAAGAAGAGCAAGAGCAACATGAGTATGGTGATATCCAACTTCTGTTAACTCCACAAGGAGAAACTATCCTAATCAACAACAGCCACAACTTAAAACTAACCTCTGTGAGGTCAGACATGCCCTTCATGGTCCCACATCTCTTCCTACTAATTCCAACACCAATCTTAGTGATCTACTGAATCTGAAATTCCTTGCAATAGCTCACAGACCCCACAGAACCATGTTAGGGTAGGCAAAATGCTATAATTCAATTTGGCAGCAATATATAATCAGTCAGAAGCTTCCAGAATGCGTTGGTAGGCACTTCAGCCTTAAGCCTTTTGGCTTTAGGCTAGTGTTGCAAAGCTCTTAGTCTTGCCAGTTATAACATATATGCACACACACACACACACACACACACACACCCCTACACTCACACACAACCCCCCTTTTATCCCCTTGTCTTCCAGCAAACTTGGGCAAAGCCTCTTAGCTCTAGTTCCATGGGAAAGCCGTCCCAAGGTCAATGCTGTCTCATGTTGAGTCTCTGGTTTTCTGCTTTGACTGCTGCTGCTGCTCTTCTGTAGGTGCAAAAGAATATCTGGCCCTAAAGCCATGCTGTATCCTCTTGCTGCTTTTTTGCTGGCAGTGAGATTCTCAAAATCTGGCATTGAATCTACTCAATTTAGTGGCATGTGGCAAGACTAGCCAATATTTTTGTGGATAGGCTAACATATTCTGTTCATGTATTCCTAAACAATCCATGACAAAGTCAGTGGCTTGGGAAACCATTTTGAACAGCAAACTCTAAACACTACAGTGAGTGATAAAATTTTCTATAAGTATTTAATAGTATTGTATCTTTTTCAACTTTTAAATTTCTGATCCATCCCACAATATATTGCATTGATTAGTACTGCAATAGGAAGTTTAATTTTAGCAATGATAATGAGAAACCTTATATTATTTTTTAATTTAATGCAATGCTTAACTATTAAGAGAATGACACTTGCTAAAAGACTTCTGATAATCTTTATTAAGAAAAGTCCTTCTGCTCTTCCATACTCCTCACTTTTAGCTACTAACTGTACACAGTCCTCCACGCCTCCACGCCTCGCCACCATGACTTTCAAATTTAAGGAAATCAAATACTTTCTGCTCACAACTATGTGAAAGGATCTGTCAAGATCAAGAAAAATAAAGATAATGTGAAGTTTAAGGTTTGGTGCAGCAGGTACCTTTATACCCCCATCATAACAGACAAAGAAGAGGCAGAGAGACTGAAGCAGTCCCTGCCCCCAGGTTTGGCAGTGAAGGAGTTGAAATGAACCAACATGCTGATTTGAACTATAATAGAATTTTTAAAAACAAAAAAGTGCTTCCTGTTTCTAATTTGCCATGAATCTTTTTTTCCTTCAAATACAATTTAAAACTTACCTAATACATTATCAGAATCAATTGAATTTATCATTTTCTCTTTCTTTTTGAATTATATTACTACCATTTTAAAAGTTTAAATATTTTAAATTGTATTTGATTTTAAGCCATAGTTATTGTTTTGCTGGAATGATATAACACTTTCTCAGATGCCATTTTCTCTATTATAGGAAGCTGTCTTCAAAGGAGATGGAGATGGTTTGTTAGAAAACTCGATTATTGACCAAAGGTAAGACTAAAACCCCAGAAAATGTTTTTTAAATTGTATTTAGCATAACTTCCTACAGTATTCCTATAGTATTAGAACACTTTGTTTAAAATCGGGAATTTTTCTTTATAGTTTACTAGAATCAGATCTAACATAAAATAAGTATGGTAGAGACTTAATACAACTCAAAATTTTTAGTGTGTTTCATCTGTTACACATTTCTTAAGTGAGATGAGAAAAAATCTGCCATCTTTTTAATTCTGGGTTTTTTTTTCCTTTAGGTTTTTGTCTCCTCTTATTATTGAGTATGACAAGCATCTGGAAGAACTCAATGGGCAATTAAAATATTACCAGGTATAAAATTATTATTTAGCTTTCCATAATATTTTTCAGAAATAGAACATTTCACTTAAAAATTTTTGATGAGGAAGAAAATCTATAATTAATATCAATTCTTGACTTTCTTCACGTATTTATGTGTATTAGTTGAGTTATTACAGAAAGCAGCCAGCCAAATTATCCAAACCACCAATAATCACTGCTTAACCAAGTTAACAAATAAATTTAACCATCACTCCTTGTAACATTCTGCATTTTGTTTAGAAGAATCTCTTAAACTAATTATTGGTTGCTTACACTCTAGCCTTAAGAATACCTACAAACTTCTCATATCCTTTTAGGCCTGTCTCTTATTTTATTTGCTTATCTTATTATTTGCAGAATATTTTTTGTTCTCAATTTCAAATGTTATATCTGTCACAATTTGGTCACTATTATTTGCTGATAATACAGATAATTTCTGACCTCTGACAGGGTTTTATTCTGACACTCCATTGTAAGCTGGTCCTCCAGTTTCAGAGGCCATCAGTTACATGAGAGAAAACGGCCTGTCTTTTTGCCAAAGAGTCACTTGTATGTGTTCACACCACTGGAGAAATGTTACCTTTGGGTTAGCTGCATTAACTTCCTACAGACTAGACCATCTAAGCTCTCTACAAAACTCTCTTAGTACTGCCAGTTATGCTTCTCCTTACCCTCCCAGCTGAGTCCTCTGGGACTTGGTTTTGGCTCTGTTGGGGTAGCATCTCCACTTTAGGTCTATTTTACATGGTCACTCTGCTACTGCTTGCAGCTTCTCTGTTCCAGGTCCTAGTCAGACTCGGGCAAGACTCTATGGTCTAAATTGTCACAAAATGTACTCTTTCTTTCTTTCTTTCTGGTGGTGAAATTTCCATTTTTATGCCTCTAAACCTGCTAAGGGTAAGCCTGGCAGAATGACAAAATTGATCATTCTCCTCATTAGTAATCATACAGCTTGTTTGCATTTTCTCACTTAAAAGGTGCTATTTATCTGATTCACATTCTTAGCATCATTAATCTGACTCAACTATATGTTGAAAGTCAAAGGAAATGGTTGGAATGCCATTTTAAGCAAGCAACCTACTACACTGTAGGTATAATTATAATTGTAACCTTCAGATGTTTGATAAAAGAGTAAATACCGGAGTTTATGCCGTAAGATTATTAATTAGATCTAGTTTAACACAATTCTATTCATAAAGTAATCCATGATGTGTAGCTTCATATGAAGAACATAGAATGTTTACTACTCCTTAAAAGAATACTTAGGCTGGTCTCTGGCACTTGAATGGCTTACACCTTTATTTCTGTGAATATTTCTCTAATGTGTAAACTTTTAACGTGTTCCTGACCCAGTTCATAGGCTGATGTTGTTGTTAGGTACAATCATGTTGACTCTGGCTGATAGAGACCTTGCCCGGAACCATCCTCACTATCTCTGCCATGCTCAAACCCATTCGTACAGTTAGTCTGTCAGTCCATTTCCTTGAAGATCGGTCCACTTTTGTTGACCTTTCCCAGTGTGATGTCTTTTACTCAAGACCAGCCTCTTTTAATAACATGCTCAAGCTTGTGAGATTACTTTCACTATCCTTGCTACTGAATATCACCATGGTTATATTTCTTTCAGGACAGATTTGTTTGTTCTTTTAACAGCCTTGGGCTCTTCACCAGCACTATAATACAAAGACTTTAGTTCTTCTATCTTCCTTTTTCATTGTCAAACTTTCACATGCATATGAAGCAATGAAAATACCATGATTTGGATCAGACACTGTAGTTTTTAAAATTATGTATCCTAGTTTTGTTGTTGTTGTTGTTACTTGCCATAGAATCACCTGTGACTCATAGCAATTCTGTGTACAACAGCTCTGAACTCTGCCCTATCCTTAACCAGTCTTACTCACCCCAACATACTTAATCCATAAAATCCGGGGTCATCTTCTCCTCCACTGTTCTTCCACCCTTCCAAGCAAGATAGCTCTCTGCAAGGACTGGTCCCGCCTGGCCACGTGCCCAAAGTATGTGACATGGAGCTTCAAGATCCTTACCTCCAAGAAGAAACTTGGTTTCACCCTCTCCAAGACAGACATATTTGTTCTCCTGATTGTCCATCATTCAGTACTCTTCTCCAGCACCACTGCTCAAATGGTTCAATTCTTCTGTCATCCTTAGTCATTGTCCAGCTCTCTGATACATAGATGTAATTGCGAGGACCATGACTGGGTTAGGCACACTTTAGTCTCTAGATTGACATCATTACTCCTCAACACTCTGGAGTGGTCCCTGCTAGCAGTCTTCCCCCATGCAATTTGCCTTTTGATTTTCTGACTGCTGGTGCCAAGAGTGGAGCCAAGTAAGCTGAAATTGTTAACAACTCAATCTCTTCTCCATCCATCTTGGCACTTTAAAAAAGTCCTTGAGAGCAGATGTGCCTGTGGATTCCAAGTAAAATTAAATCAATGACAACTTTTAAGTTTTTTTCCTATTGATGTAGCCTATTGGTCCAATGGTGAGAATTTTATTTTCTTGGTATTTTATAGAGTAGTTGGTAGTCTGTCCAAAGTCAGCCGCTGACCCAGTTTTGACTGCTGATATCAAACTTCCCCAGTGTCTTTTCTAGAGATGTAGTTAGTCTGATTCTTGTGTAGTCCACCAAGTGAGGTCCATATGCATGTTGGTGTTGTTATGTGCTGTCGAGACACTTGCGACTCATAGTGACCCTATGTACAACAGCCCTAAACTCCGCTCTGTCCTGTGCCAATTGCACCATCTCTGATACACCCATCCCAATTGCTCCAGTCACTGAATCAATCCACCTCATAGAGGGCCTTCCCCTCCTGCGCTGTCCCTCCACCCTACCAAGCATGATGTCCCTCTCCAAGTACCGGTCCCTCCTTACAACATGTCCAAAGTATGTTAGACGGAGCCTCAGAATTCTTGCCTCCAAGGAGCCAGCCCGTTTGTCCCTTTCCAGGATGAATCTGTTTATTTTCCTAGCAATCCATGGTACATTCAATACTCTTCTCCAGCACCACAGCTCAAAGCCAACAATTCTCCTTCCATTCTTGATCATTGTCCAACTCTCTGATGCATAACAAGTGATTGCAAAGACCATGGCCTGTATCAGATGCACCTTAGTCTCCAGAGAGATACCATTGCTCTTCAGTACTTTTTAGAGGTTCCTAACAGCAGACTTTCCCATCACAATACGTCTTTTAATTTCTTGGCTACTGGTGCCAAGAGTGTTGACTGTGGAGCCAAGCAAACTAAAGCTGTGAACAATCTCAATCTCTTCACCATCCATCCTGATGCTTCCAGTTGGACCAGTGGTGAGAATCTTTGTCTTCTTGACATTGAGCCTCAATCCATATTAGAGGCTGCAGTCCTTGACCCTCTGCAGCAGGTGCTTCAGGTCCTTCTCACTTTCCACAATCAGGGTTGTGTCATCTGCATATCGCAGGTAGTCATCATTTGTTTTTTAAAAGACTTGTTTGCAGTGTTGTTTTGTTGTTCCCTTTGAATCAAGTATAACTCATAGCAACCCTGTAAACAAAAGATCTGAACCCTGTTTGATTTTGTGCCATCTTCACACTTCCTGACACACAAGAGCCCATTGCAGCAGTCACCATTTCAATTCACCTAGTTGAGGGTCGTCTTCTCCTTTGCTGACCCTCCACCCTTCCCAGCATCATGTCTTTCTCCAAGTAATAGCCTCTTCTAGCAACAGTCTGAAGTATGTAAGGTCTTGTCTCCAAAGAGCAATCCAGCTGCACCCTCTCCAAGACATATCTGTTCATTCTCTTGGCTGTCCATGGGATGTTCAGTGCTCTCGTCCAGTAACACAGCTTAAAGGCATCAATTTTTCTGTCCTCCTTATTCATTGTCCAGCTCTCAGATGCATAGCAAGTAATTGGAAAGACCATGGCCTGAATCAGATGCAGTTTAGTCCTCAAACTGACATCATCACTCCTCGATAATTTGGAGAGGTCCCTACTGCAGATTTTCCCAGTTCAGTGCATCTCCTTAATTTTCTGCCTACTGGTACCAAGGGTGTTAATTGTGGATACAAGCAAGATGAAGCTGTTAATAGTTTGAATCTCCTCCATCCGTGATGATGCTGTCTATTGGTCCAGTGGTATGAATTTGCATTTTCTTGATATTGAAATGCAATCCATACTGAAGGCTTCGTTTCTTGATCTTCAGCAAAAAGTGCTTCAAGTCCTCCTCACTTTCAGCAAGCAAGGTTGTGTCATCTGCATAATGTAGGTTATTGATGAGTCTCTCTCCAATCCTGATGCCACACTCCTCTTTATAGACTAGATCATTAATAAAACAAAATTTGATTATTTGGCCACCAGCCTCATTTGTGTTACCAAGGTTGTATTTTCCAACTATTAGTCTTTTATTTTTGCAATCTAATCACTGATTATTCTTAGTATATCTTGATTGGATGTTTAGTCCATTTCAGACTGTAAAATTCGATAGAATTCCTTAATTTCCTCCTCTTTGGTTTTAGTGATTGGGCATGTAGTTGTATTAACAGATCTTCTTTGTATGCATATGGATAATATCCTATCGTTCATAGCATTGAACTTCATGATGTTGAAATACTCTTTTTGAAAATGAGTAGGACAGCATTCCTTTTCAACATGTCATTCTCAACATTATCCTTTATCTATCCAATTCAAAATTTTTAAGATACCTTTCCTTTAAATTGTATTTTCTCTCATCACATATTAAAGGAAACTTCCTACTTTTTATATATATTTTTTAATCTGGTCATTTAAATATAACTTGTAATACATTTAAATTTTTTATAATTGATAAAGCACAACAGAAAGCTCGTATCGACAAATGCCCTTTCACTCTCATTTTAACACTAAAAAAATCTAAAGATCTTACTGAATTTGTCTTTCCTGAATTCCTTTATGACATGTGGTTTATTAATGAGGAGCATACTAGTTCTTTTAACTTATATTATTGATACAGGCAAAATATACTGTTTCTTGAGAACAACACAAGTATGGCTACAATATTCTGTATAAAAATTTTCCTCCTAGGATAT